TCGATCACTCAGGTAGCTTTTAAACCATGCCAGAGCCGAGTCACCAATCCCACAATCAAATAACTTATTCACAGCAACTGGTGATTGACTCTATCAAACACTTTCCTGACATCAGCAAGCACTACGCCAACAACCTTCCCATTATCCAAATCTTTCATCCAGCTATCAATTATAACACAATTGCAACAGTCAGGGCCTCCTTACACGAATGATATCGTCTGTATGCAAATTGCTGGGGTGGAATGTCAGGATTCTCTTGGAAGGCTGTTGGAGTGCGCATCCAAGATGTGCTAGAGGTTTTACCCAGTTAGTTGTAGAACGTCAGTACAGTCGGTCAGTGTCGTGCAATGTTATCACATGAGCTGATTGTTTAGTAACTGGTGGTGTTAGTGGACAGTATAGCGTAACTTGTAGTTTAGTGGTCCTTTTTTTCTTTACTATAAATTTATCCTTGGCTCTCCATCTGAGTCCATTCTTGCACACCTGATGAGCCGTCCTTATCTATAAGGCGAAACGATCGTCGTGTGAAACTGCTGCTTGTTACCCGCTGCTTATTGTCCATTATTTATTATTATTAAATTTTTGATAGGGCGAGCCCCACAGGCCTATGGCATTCTTACAGGGTACCCTAAATGTGCCAATACAAGGTTACGGAAGCGGGAAACAGATGTGCATAGGCGAATCTAAATTGTCATAGTCGAAGTACAGTACTATTTTACTGAGGCATTCGGTTTTGCTTGATTCTTGTTCGCATACATGTAGCTTCCCATTTTATTGATCTTCGCATCTTTGAGCCACACAAGTTGTGTGGAATGTTGCTTTGCGTCCTTGAATCGTGGTTTGACCGTATTGTCCAGTGGTCTTGCCAGTATCGTCATCGACATGCATGAACATCCGCCAACGACGTCCTTCACAGCTGAGACTTTCCGCCTTCATGCTAGGAATCATAAAGTATCCTTCTAGTGTGCTTGACTACTTGTCAACATTTCCTATTTTGTGCAGGCTCCTTGTTTGTAAGTATTTTCTCAAATGTGACTTATAATTATTGCATTCCGTGTATTGACGCTATTGTGTTCTATTCCAAGCAATGCTATTGAGGTAGTAAGACACCTCCGATCATCATGAAAATTTGTACACAGCTAGGTCTGGGCCTTGGCTACTTCATTCCAAAGCAACACTGTTAGTATTTAATCTGCAAGATACCTTAATTGGGAATTATCACTTTGGTTGCTATGGTAACTCTCTTCAAGAAGTATTTCGTCGATTTGGTCAACAAAGCCCCATGTTTCTGGGTCAAGTGACACAGATCCTGAAAGCTCTACGCATTCTCTATCATTTGCACATGGCAAACCTTTGTCCCCCTTGAACGGGAGCGAAAAGAGCGAAAAGTCACTTTTTTGCACCTTGGCCTGTGGACTAATCATCCAGCGCTAAGAATATTGAGCAAACTGCCACTAATGGTGCATACATTACCTTCTGTAAACCGGGTCAAAACATCCCCCACAGCGAGTTACCTCAGTGGAAGGTCTGACCGATAGCTTTTTTTATCGGGATCACATTATTGGCAGCTTCTATCAGATCTGGACCAGAGGCTAGTATTCCCACGCTTTATTGCACTTGTCACGTGTCGTCCAGACATAGTTCTCTTCTCGAAGAAATTGAGAAGGGTGCTTTAGCTGGAACTCATGGTGTGTAGCGAAAAACGCATCCTCCAGTCCAGGGAGAAGAAGCTGTCACGGTATCGCCACCTCAAACAGGAGTGTGTGAAGAATGCATTACTGGGAAGACGAGGCCCTCATAGCGGAGGTGGGGGCTAGAGGAGCTATTTCCAGCAGCCTGGACGATTTGACACGAGCATTGGGCTGTAGTAAGGAAAAACATCGCCAATTAAGAAGGAACTGCAGAAACGCAGCAGTAATTCTAGCCATGTTATCTGGCTGAGGCAACGTGAGAAGGCTTGCCGTGACTGGCCATTGTTTTAAAAGTTACCAAGAAGCAGTTTGACGACACTTGGTCGGCGGACAGCCACCCAGCGAGGATAATTAGGTACCCTTCAAATCTTGGTTTCAACTCGCCACACCGGCTTCTAGAGTGCAGGGGGTTGATGTTCGCCAAACAAGTCGAGCCTTCGTTGTTTTTTTTTACTTGCTTGTACTACGCCGCGCTTGAGCCAGTCTATCTGTAGATGCAAACGCCGCATAGAGCTACTATTGCACAAAGCCCAAACACTACACGCTGCTATTCGCTGCACACTTTCGCTTCGCCTAGCTGCTGTTACCCAACCGTTTTTTTGGTGCGAATTTCTTTCCCTTCTTCTCATTATTATTATGATTCCTTATTCTCACCATGGTCGTTGATGATGTGGTGGGTGTTGTTGCTGCTGCTGTTGCCGTTGCTACTGCCGTGGCTGTAGTTACAGTCCCTCATGTTATCCGGGAATATTTGCTTGTGCCATTCTTCATCCAGTTGAATTTGTATGATGGTTTTGTATGTTTTATCGCAGATTTCGTTGCTGGACGGGTACCCTCGATCTCAGTTACCTTCGTCCGAGTGCAATTGTTAATTTTGCCCTGAATTGCTCTTCCTGTTTCTTTGCAACTTTCCTTCTCCTTCCTGCACCCCTATCTTCAACTCCCTTATCACATTCGCTCACTTGTAATTGGGCTTGTAGCCCGTGTGTATTTGCGAATTCAAATAAAAAATATACATACATACATAAAAGATTATCGATCGGAGGATGTATCCAGTGTGCTGACTGAGCGGAATACAAAACAACAAGACTTCGTCAAGGCTTGTTTGTTGCTACTTCAAGTTTCATGCTCTCGCTGATGATGATGCCTGGTGATTACGAGAGCATGAAACTGTTTTGTACATACCATCAACAGTCACAGTACATAACCCCCCAGAGTGTGCAACTCCCACATACCCTGCTGTCTCCACAGAATTTCAAGTTGACGTCATTATTTATGACGCAATGCTCCTTACACCAGTGATTTACAACATGCGTACGGGTGTCAACGCATCACACATTTTTCTTTGCAATAATTTGTACAGGATCGATCGGCTTCGTTCAACCACAGGTTCCGGATTCGTCTGATAATCCGTGTACAGTGCGCATTGCATCATCAAAATGACGTCAACTTGGAATTCTGTCGGGACAGCACCCATAGTCGAGTTGCACACTCTGGGGGAGGGGTTATGTACTCTTGATACCATTGATGATGGGTGTATTCTTTTTGTATGCATTGTGTGCTGTGCTTTGCGATTCTTCCATTCATATTGTTTTTGTAATTGTACGATTGTGTTTATTGCGCCAATTCTCCTGTACCTTACATTGAGGTTCAGCATAAACATTGCATTCTATGTGTTGTTTTTCCCGTACTAGAGGCTTCATAAACTAGGGTCTATGCAGCTGTTTGATGTCCAGAGTATCTTTCATTAGCATGTTACATACAATAATGGACTCTTTACTGTAAATTACATGTAATTTGCCCTTTCTAAGGAAAGCATTGCCATCATTTCGTGGAGAGGCCCGGAAAAATAATCTGCTGACTACTAAATATACACTTTTTATCTGATCGACACTATCCTACAACAGTTCCAAGCTAGCTCAAACTCAGTTCCAAGTACTTCAGAAAAAATCCAACCCAAACCTACCATGTATCAGGTTATCTAGAATGAAACACAGATAAAGAACCAATCAGAAGGTGCAACAGGAAACAAACTACCTGTTGTAACTGCGGTACATACGGTATGATACGGTACATACGGTATGATACGGTACATACGGTATGATACGGTACATACTCTATGATACGGTATGATACGGTACATACGGTATGATACGGTACATACGGTATGTACCGGTACATAATATAACCTAACCAGTTGATTATATGGGAAATATAAACCTGTATATTGGTTTATATTTCCCATAAAATCAACTGAGTAGGTTATATTATGCTTATACTGAGCTGATATACAAACTCCCCTCTCCCCCACAAGGGTAGAGATTGGAATTCCAACCCAAAACCATGGCTCGATGAGTCTTCCTTTCACCAACCTGTGCGGATCAAGTACAAGACTACCACTGACTCTGTGCAGTGCATGCAGTGCAGTCCCATCACACACTCTTTGTGACTTCAGCTTAGTACTGAAGTACTAGTTACATCGGAAGTAACAGCTATGCGCCAAGTTAGTAAGTTAGTTTGAACCTCACAGTGCTAGTGACCGTTACCGCGCGCAGATCTCACCGCGGGCTCTGTAAAAGAACCGTTTGCTCAATAGAGCCATAGAGTTCGTCTCCTTTCCAAAGTAAGAGTAAAATGAATCAGCACGAGCCTGTTTAATCGACTCCCAAACGTTTCTTTAGTTCTTCTGAGGACGACCACGAATCACGATGCCATTATTCAAGCAGCAGTTTCCAAGAACACTGGCAGTGCCACGGATTATGGCTGCGCATGTTCCGTCCGCTCTGCGAGGGACGCGGAAAGGAGAACATCGATTGGAAAACCATCAGTAGTGAAGTTCCGTCGCCCCTGCTATCTGCATTTTATGTCGATGCAAAAACGCAGGAGGAGCGGCACGCGGGGCTCTTCAGCCGCACATGTCGAGTGCTGCGCTTGACAGACGGAGTGCTGAAACAGCGAAAGAAGGACAGCCTCGAACGTCAGGTGCAGCACAAGGCACCTGTTAATAAGAACGACGTTGTATTCTTCATCTTTGACGGGAAAGAGTATAAGGTATGATACGGTATGATACGTTATAGTACGGTGTGATACGGTATGATACGGTATGATACTGTATGATACGGTAGAAAGTCCGTCTACTACACTACCAGTGCCAAGTGATGGACAAACTGTGTGACAATATTAAAGTTTATAACAGTAAGAAGGTGACAAGTTTGGCATCTGCAATGAAAACCATAACACTATCCATGCCTTACATGACTTGAGTTGTCTCCTGCATCTTGTACTATTTCTCCATATATGCAGATATATGGACAATGGAGTATCACTCAATCTTCGCCTTTGCGCTCTTAAGATCCCTACAGATTATTCAAGAGGCAACATCTTAAGAGGAGTTATTGTAAAGAATTATGTTTCTGCAAGTAAGTAACCCCTTTTAAAAGGCAACACACATTCCTGCGCATAGTGTTGAACTTTACTCATTCCCTTCCTGTAGTACACTTATCGGTCTGTTTACTGCAAACAGATTATCCTGGAAACCTTCTTCCAACTGAAAGAACGAACAAGGGATGAGAGTCCTGGTTCAAGTTCTGCTGGTGACAGTCAATTTTTTTCTTCAGACTTTTCTCGTTTGTATCTTTCCCTCAAACTAGTGAAAAAAATATTAAATTTATAAAACGCGAAGAATAGAAATAGAGTACATCACGCATTACGATGGTATGAACAAAAATTAATGGCAGTGTTTCTACGGCTTCTCCGCTTTGTCTGTTTTAGTTGTTGTTGTTGTTGGTTATTGTGACTGTAGAATTGCTACTCTACGTTCACTTTGTTGACGATTTGTTTACATTATTCAATATTTACACTTAAGGAAGAGAGTGAAGAGTTGGTGGACAGAACAACAGTAAACTGCGGGGGCATGTTACAGTGATAGATGATCAGTACAGCAAGTGAAATTCACCCAAGCTAGCAGTGCACTGTAACGTCACCGGAGAAATTACAATGCATGAGAGTGAGCTTGACCACTGCTCAATAGAGCTAACCAACGTCCCTTCGACTTGGAAGGTTACAGCAATGAAAGTCCCTGGTCCGAGTCCTGGCGGTGAAAATCAACCATTTCCCTCAGACTTCCCCCTTTTCATTCTCTTAATCTATGAATACTTGCTAACATTACAGCAATAACCAAAATTATAATCATCGGGGGTCTGTACTGGTGGTGCTAGGGATCCTGCCACCATGCTAAGCAGACAACCCGGCGTATGGCTCCTTGCTCTTCTCAGCCAGGAGAGACGTTATTCGTGAGAAAAGAGCATCGGCATGCTTGCCATAGCCACCAGAGGCCGAATGCGCAACCGGCACGAAGGAGAGATGCTCGACTTTGCGTCCGCGCTCTTCATACTTCCCGCGCTTTTCTTGTTCATGTCGTCTGTAGATAGCAGCGGGGGAGGCGCACGTTTCGTAGACGCAAAAGGGTTGAACACCCTTACATCGATAAAGATGCGCTCGACGTCAGCCGATGACAGGCTTACGTTATGAGCGACCTGCCTCAGGGCTCTGGCGGTGATGTCCCTCACCTCGTTATGGCGCAGCGTCGGTAAGCCACCAAACAGGCACGACAGGATGTGACTGGCTTTCAGCGGCTCGTTGCATACGCAGAGGCTTGGGAGCGGAGAATGTGTCCAGGAGTACTGGAGGCACAAGCCATCCCGGAAGTGTCTATTGGTGAGCGTGAAGCCATGACGGCTGAGGGTGTGGCAGGTCAGCCAGCTGGATTCAACCTTTCCTGAGGCTAGGTCAAGAAAATGGCCAGCTCTAGGTGATCCGAGCAAAGTGAATCTGACATAGACTTCCATGGTGGTTCAAAGGTTCCCTCGGTAACCCACACTTATGCCGTGACCGGTCGGCCCAGGATTAGACCCCAGCGCTGCGGTCCGACATGAACTAACTTACTCGCAAAATAATGCAGTGGTGACCACTTGGAGAGAGTCCACCAACAGAATTACCCATACGCATGCACTCGCATATACCTAGACATCCCTTAAATATCTCTCTCTCTCTCCCCCCCCTCTCTCTCTCTCTCTCTCTCTCTCTCTCTCACACACACACACACACACACACACTCACACACACACACACACACACACACACACACACACACACACACACACACATGCATACACACACACACACACACACACACACACACACACACACACACACACACACACATGCATACACACACACACACACACACACACACACACACACACACACACACACACACACACACACTGACTGTACTGTACTGTACTTGCTCACTGCCATGACTGGTCACGCGAGTCTCCCCAGAAGCGGGGAGAGAGATTCAAAAGGAATCTTAGAAAGATGACTCAAGTGGCTATTGAACTGCACAACGGCCGACGCCCCTGAAATCCCCATAACTCTGGGTGGACTTGACAATGATTCCACTTATGGGCTCACCACACCTCAGTAAGTGGGTGAGGACAAGGTGCACACACACACACACACACACACACACACACACACACACACACACACACACAGACACACACACACACACACACACACACACACACACACACATACACGCGCGTGCGCACGCAAGCACGCACGCATAGCAACTTGTGCTGGGATTACACCATTCAACAGCTTGCAAAACGGATGAATTGACCGCCACTAATTTTAGCCTGGTATCCACCACACAGCTGATTGAAGTGACTTTTTCTGGCCAGTGAATCCCTTTTTTTTATTTTCACATTTTTTCCACGGACACACACACACACACACAAAACACGCACGCACGCATGCACGCGCGCACGCATGCACGCACACAGACACACACACACACACATACTTCCTCTGTGTCATTAAAATTGTCGCTTCCCAGAGCGATTTTTCGAATTTATTTTGTCCACTCGAAGGGCTAAGAAATCAGCTAGAAATTGAGGCAGAGCATTGTCGACGGACCAAGCTATAGTTTGTGGCCTCCCGCTTCGCCGCACTTGCAGCTAAGGTCGACATCTTCATCAGAGTTTGAGGCAGACCCTTCAGCACTCAACAATACCCTGAAGAAGACGCGCGTTCAAATTCAGGTCAAGAAACTTAGTTTTCAAGCGATCCATGCCTCCCGGTGGCAGGCGATGAAGGCAATGAAGGCGATAAAGGCAATGAAGGCGATGAAGGCAAGCTAGCATTTTTCAAGTACACTGTAACGACCTTCCAGCGGGACAGGGTAAGCAGTTTCGCACCTTCTTTTCTTGGCAAGCGCTTCGCTGATTTTGTTGGTGTTTTCAGACTTGCTGCCTTCGCAGCAACATACGCCACAAGTAGCGCATTTTAGGAATTTGAGACTACTTTGCTCTTGCCATCGTCAACTACTGCATTTTGTATTCAGGAGAGATACCAGGATTCTTATACCCGAGCTTGCAGTCTTGATAAATGCCCACTCGAACCATGTGGGACGGCACGAACTCCAGAAAACGAAATGCGCTCTGGGGCGGAATAGTGCGGAGCGCGATGAATTTGCTTGGTGCGGAAGAGAGCTCCGACAAAGTCTGAGACCACCACGGCTTCAGTAACAAGTAGACATTGCGCAGGAAGGGTCGCACCAGTGTTCGAACACAGAAAACAGCGATTCCGAGAGTCTGACTAAGACGAGCCAAGTCCCAAATATTGCGATGTGCGAAGCGACAATTTTAATGACGCGGAGGAAGTATATACACACACACATGCACGCACGCACACACCGGCATTAAGGTTTACTTACATTTGCCAAGAAGGCAAATTTGTTCAATCAAGAGACGATATGAATGGAGAGAGGGAGAGAGAGAGAGAGAGAGAGAGAGAGAGAGAGAGATAGATAGATAGATAGAGAGAGAGAGAGAGAGAGAGAGAGAGAGAGAGAGAGAGAGAGAGAGAGAGAGATAGAGAGAGAGAGAGAGATAGAGAGAAAGAGAGAGCACAAGGCAAGAGTGACGAAAGCCAAAGCTTCCGCCTCAAGGGTGGAAGGCGAGCGAGAGACCTAGCAAGGCTGTAGAGGTAATATTTTAGTTGCGGCCATAGAAGCCCATGACCCCGAATTTGATGACCCCACTTGCAACAGTGTGTACCAATACCAATACGCGTACGAACTACCGCACAAATAAGGGGCGTTGATACACCCGCATGCAACAGTGTACCAAAATGCAGAATAAAGGCAGTTGTGAATCCGTTTATGGGAGATAGATAAATAATCAGGATGTGTTCTTTTATTCTCTAGCTTCTCGGAGAAGATGAAAAGAGAAGTCGGAGAAACTGGTATAATTCCAAAACGGGTCTGGAAGAATTCGGAGATATTTTGCACATGTCAGGCACGAAAGGGATCTCGACTTATGAATATAGTATGCACATATGCGTATGCAAAAAAAGGAAATGCGTGCACTCATGATCAACACGTGGCTTTTAGCAGCAGTTCGCATGCGCTGATCCCAAACCACGGGTATCTTCAAGTTTCAGTCACCTCTGAAGCTTGGAGAGCTTGAAGAGCTTTGGAGAGTCTCCTGAACACGGAGAGGATATAAAACAGCTCCCGAACCTTTCAGAAAATCTCCCACTTTTCGGAGAGGATTTACGAACGCACCATTATACACATAAATGAGTAGGGCTGAAACGATTATACCGAATAATCGGTTACTCGTTTGATAACTCTAACGATCGAGCAATCGTTTAGATTACCGATTACGATTAATTTGCGTTTTTAAATTTGTGTCCAGAAAGTACTGCAACCCTCCGTTTTGAGAAGTTTGAATCAGTTTCCGCTGGGAGTATGCAGCTGCATGGCCAGCTCTAGGTGATCCGAGCAAAGTGAGACCACCATTGGAGGCATCGATCTATTGCGAAGACTGTATTACAAACATGTCCTCAAAACTCCGTTGAAGAATCTACCCAAAAAGAAAAAAATGAACGGAGGGCTGGGCACATACACGGCCCCGTTCCGGACGCACAGCCAAGGAGGAGGACGCGGTTGTGTCCTCTGGCTTGATTGGCAAAGAAAACAGCAAGCAAAGAAATAGGGCAAGCGAGCACAGTTCAAACTTCTTGAACAACATGGGCAAAGCAAAACACGTTATAGAAAATAATGCATGATGTTATCAGTACACACGCGGACATGCAAAAAGGTCAAAACTGCAAAGCGAGTGCCGCAAGAAACAGCACAAATAAATAATAATTCAAGCCGCAAAGAACTTAAAAGGCGGATTTGCAATTACCGAAGAACAAGAATGTATTGTAGAGTTCCAGCGAAACTGCCAGAGGACGTTGGCACCCACCAGACGGGTAGTTGCTGCCCTTGTCAGAGAGGTAGAACGAAAACTGAAGCAGAGGAACCACCTTGCAGATAGTGAAACACACAAGGTAAGAATGTTCCAACAATGTCCAATTATGCCATACTGAGTAATATATAGGGTGAAACTTTTTTTTAAATAATATTCATACTCGGAAAAAATCAGAGTACCTGTTCATACATGGTACATACATTTACCTCCGGGATCTGCAGTTTCAGAGAAGCAGTCGGCAGATATTGATCTGCAGACTGTGACGTGAATATTTGTTCACAAGTAGAGAGAGAGCCCAAATGACCCACCAACCAATATACTCGAGAAAAATGACCGCTACTCGGTTCAATCCGGGTTGTATCATGCGATTTTAAGGCGATTGGTGTGCAATTTTTAGGAGATGAAGAATACTCGAACACTTCAATATGCGATTGGAGAAAATCAGAGTACTCGAACTCGGGATCTCAGCGCCAACTTTCACCCCTGGTAATATACATGTAAAGCGAAACCAAACACGAACAAGCGCAGAAAGTACCAACAGCCGGGCTCCACATCTCAGCACAAGTCGTCGCCTTACCATTCGGAGCTAAGTCGCATACTCGCCGAGAGATGAATCCTGCTCCAGCAAGCGAGATACTAGGCTAGCCGTGATTCTTTTGGACGAGGTGTACTGCTCAGTCGTATAAATTTTGGTTTGAAATTTGCATCCTCCTGATGAAGCCCATGCTTCTTTGGCGCTGGCGGAGGCTCACTTACCGATTATCTGGCTTGACTTTACTTCAACTGACAGAGTCGAATGAATAAAGGGGGTATTTATTCCCGTAGCTATGCAGAAGACGTTACTTCAGTAACGTCTGGCGCTAGCCAGGGTCCACACAGCTTTAATTTGGTATTTGTTTGTGTGTTTGTTTGTGTCACGCCTGGCGCTATCCGTATCTGGCGGCAAAAAAGCATAGGATGTTATAAAATTTTCAATTCTCCTATTTTTTTTAGGCATATCCTGGGATTCGAACCCGCACTATCGCCCTACATGCATTCCCCATACACTTGGCATTCATAACCATTCTTCCAAGTTGCTTCACGTTATTATCTTGCGTTTGAATGCCCTATTTGAATATTGCGGGCAGCTGTACGAGGTGAGTTGTAATAATTTTACATGAATGTAAAAAAGGCTGTCATTTCGTTACCCTGGCGAGTTTTGAAGTGTGGATGGTCTCATTCTGTCACTATTTGTGTCCTCTATCCACGTGTGGACTTCTTGATCGAACACCACAAACATGAGAGACACAGTGTGGGGTTGCTTTGCATGCATTTTTTCACCCAGAAAAAGTGTGTACAAAATTTTATCAAGTCGGTGAAATGGGGTCTAACATCAACAAATATGACCTAAATGTGTCAATAAGCTTGCAATGGGAAATCAAGATACATCTGAAGCAAGTCACATGCAGAGAAAGCAGACTGGTTTTGCAGGTTGCCCAACGTACTGGTTTCTGTACGTCGTTAACTGCGGTTCAAAACGGGAGGATATCTTTGACCGCCTGCCGGCATTGTAGAGCATGAGCACGCAGACCTTATCTTGTTGCTCCATTTCTTTCGACTTGCAGTGCATCGTCATGCGTGAAATAACCACACTAAGCGAAGATACCATCCATGATGCGCGTCAGCCGTCCCAGGACAGGGTGCCTTCGTGTATCTGGGCCACAGTGCATTTAACCGGCACATACTGACAATGTCGGGGCGTCCATACTCTCCAAGACAAGTGCAGTGACTCCTTCACCTGATTCATATACTTCTGTGTTGGAAGAAGACTGCAGACCACCCTCAATGGGTGCTCCGCCTTCAACACCCAACATACGTTCATGCCGCATTTCCTGCATTTGCACTTTGCCATCGTGAATCTCTACCAGCACTTCTGAGGTAGCAAGCTGAGTTTCATACGTAGACCTACTGAATAGCTAATTATTTACCTGTATGCCATAAGCATCAGCAGCTTCGGACTTGGATTTGAATCACCTTTCATTATAGTTGAGTGAAAGACACCTTTTGTCAAAATTGCAGTTTCTGACCTTCACCTTTTTGGCTAATCTCTTCTTCAGCCCTGCTACTTTGACGGTGTGACAGACTCATTGCTGGCATCGGTGACCAGCCTAGGGTTTCCACCTGCCGTAGAATATGCTTGCTGGCTCTTGGACGTCCTTCAAGCATCCATTGAGGGATATTTTACCTTACTGACCACAAATTCACGAATTTCGATCCATGATGGATATCTCACAAGGCTGTGGAAGAAGACAATTACGCTAAACGCTGCTGTTGCTTACAAACTACAATATAATGGCAACTCACTTGTCTGTCGAACTAACAAAAACACTTCATGGGAAGAATGCAATCGCCCTCGACAATGATATTTGACTCGATTTGTAAAATAATATGCCATGTAATTTTTTTACAAATCACCTCGTATGTGGCCAGCTGTGTTGGATGGTACGGTACGGTACGGAAGACGGTGTCGTATTACCCTCGATCGTACCTGTCCCGTACCTATCCCGTACCTATCCCGTACCGTACCGTACCATCAAAGACGGCTGGCCACAGTGCATATTCAAATAGGGCTTTCAAATGCAAGATCATAACGTAAAGCAACTTGGAAGAATAAGTATTTATGCGAAGTGTATCGGGGGATGCATGCAGGACGCGCGATAGTGCGGGTTCGAATCCCATGTTATGTCTTTTAAAAAGAGGAAATTTTAAAGAATTTAACATCCCTAAGCTTTTTTTTGTCTAGGTCATCAAGGCAAAAAAACATAGCGTAGGGCCCTGAGCTTCCAAGCTCTCTCGTTTCGGGCAGGTATATAAAAAAAAACTCAGATGGTGAGCCAAGGAAAAAACCCTCTTTGGAATTAGCACAAATATCCGTGGACCTTCCAAGTTGGAAGGCCGTTGTATGGCGCTATCAACCAATGCTGGAGCTGACTTTCTTGCTGTGGAATATAGCAGTACTCCTTTTCAGTGTTTTGCTAGATTGTGCACGTCTGACTGTTCAAAATCGGGTTTAGTTGGTGGACTCGATCGCGTAACTTGTTCCTACAATTTCCAATTTTTCACCGACTTTTTCAGTTTGGGTTTGAAATGCTGCGATAAGAGGTGGTACAAGCGAACCCGAACATGTAACTGTGAGAGTGAGGATGCAGCCATGACTGACCTTCATGAATTCGGTCTTGTGCTGAGAACTTTGGTGTTCTGCTGAAGAAATGGCCACCCCGGCTGGTCATGAGTGAGCGCAGCCGCGTTTCCGACTGATGAAGATGCAGCACCTATTGCAGACAAGGCTGATATAGTTATCAGATCTCTGGAGAGCAGAGGCGTCAGCATATAGAAGAGTGATACTAGTGCCCTAAATGTTGTTCAACACCGACACGCTTGGACTCCAGAGGCGTGCCACATGTTGATGTTTTGGTTTGAGTTTGGCATGTTTCGGATGCTGATGCTGCTCGACTGGACGTCAGTGCAGGCTCTTTGAACCACAGGCATGGCTGTTCGATTCAAATCTCAAGTAGCATGGGCGAAGGGGGTTCTGGTGCGAAGTTGAACCCACTTGACCTTATGAATGGGTACTTGAACTCCGGTTTGTTAATTAAAGTGGCCATTTGAAACCTGAAGTGTTTTAAGTGGGCCAGGTGACATGTAACTGGGTTAATGTCTAAGTGGTTTTGAAGTGCCGTTCCGCGACGTAAGTGCTTTTAAAGTGGTGGGTGTGGTATTAATAAGATTGTCTGGGATGTGGTTTGAAAGTGAATTATGATGTTCTTGAATATTCTAGGTATTGCCAGACGAATTAAAAGACTTAGTAGCCCTTCTAACAGTATGATCCCGTAGGGGTATTTTAGGATGTGTGTCTCATGGGTGAATTCATACATTATCACGCGACGTTTACCGGACCCTGTGATCAGTTAGCATCATGGATAATGAAGAACAATTTGAAATACTGTGTGCGTACAAGGAGAGTTAACGCACCGGCGTTGAGCATGACGATGCCCCTTGTACTGATGCCCCTCCTCCTACTCCAAACAATGACAAATGTTGGCATAATCATCAAGTTGTGAATGAGGGACACTTTGTGTGTACTGTATATGGGCTTGTTCTTGATAGCGTGTTTTTGCCCGAGGTGAATTTTTACGGACCCTCCAATTTGAAATGCTAAGCGGACTTTCCCTTTCACTGGCCCGAGCATGATCCACGAATGCACATTATTGTTGCCCTAAGCAAGACAAGAAGCGGCAGGGGCCGTGGGTTGTTAGCTGGGCAAGATTAGCAAAATAATAAACCACGGTCCTTGTTGTATATGCGCTTCCCGTAATTGCTCTTCTTGCGGCACTCGAGTGCCTGGAGTTCATCAGATATGGGCTTGTTTTGTACGAAGCCGCATTGGGGTGGAATACCCAGACGCCAACGATCACATTTTGAGCCCTAGTCCAGAATCCGCACGTGCGGATATCAGCGTGGGTAGCACCTTTTAGTGATGTTAAACTGATAATAGAGAGGTTCAGCACTACGTAAAGTTGAGCAACTTTACGTTAGCGGCCGGAAAAAACCGTGAATTTGCGAGTTTGCACTCCACTTACGGAAAGTTGTCTACGGAGAGTACTTAAATAGGGCTCTGATAACATAGCTGGTCCGTAAGTGGATTGCGGTACAAATTTATGACGAAGTTGCCAAGGGCAGCTACGTGATTTGAAAACTCTGTATGGCGGAACCCAGAGGCGCATGCAGTTTACGTAAGACTTTCCGTAGATCGTAATAACGTTATGCGGAACCTCTCTATTGATTAAAAAATAAAGGTTTGTCTCTAGTCTGTACGTAATAATAATAATTATTATTATACAGGGCTCTGAATTCAGTTCCGGCGAGCACTCTCTCGTTACTTGCTCTGAGTGCAAAGGTGATTGTGTGTACACAATTGAATTTGTTTTGTCTTCTCTCACATAGATCTGACTGAGGCCACTTGCCAGCAAAAGTGTAACATCATTTCCTCCCTGGACAATTGCTCTCTGTGTGCCGGCTATCTGTTCAACTACACTTGCCTAGGTGAGTAGTGGAATAGGACTTGTACCTACTCCACAAAGACAGTGAGGAGGCTCAGTTCCATGTAAGAGATGCAGAAAAGTGGGAGATACACGTCAAGTTCATGCAATGGACCCACGTTTGCGATGTTGTGTGTGGTCACACGGATTCAAAACTTGTGCAACCAGAAACGCACACACCTTTTTTCCAGACCTCAACATTTGTGTCATCAATGTGTATGGCGCATGTTGTGAGCTGCATTTGGAGTGAAAAACGTGTCACTGGCTTTCTAGGGTCAGCTTGGTCCCATGCCTTAGATGGTTATAGCTTTGGCCAAGTTTGGTATTTTGATACCTCACGAACAAGCACTGCCTTTGAACTTACTGTATTGCAGGCAAATACGTTCATGCTCTTGGTGTGACTGGAAAATTCTTCTCTACAATAAGATGCGTCTTGTGTTTCAACGTGACTTGTGGTTTAGATCGAGATGAGTGTCTACATCAGACCCACAATTGCAGCTCCAATGCTGCCTGTACAAACACTGTTGGGTCCTACAACTGCACATGTGACTCTGGGTTTTCAGGTGACGGCAAATTCTGCAAAGGTATGTTACAATTGGCTTCTATTCGAGGTACCCACGTACCCAGTCTATACGAGATGTACATGTGTTTCTGGCGTAAAGCCGGGTTTTTACCGCCGCTTCATCCCTGGTTTTGCTCAGCGCTCCGCTCCACTGAATGTATTGCCAGGCAAGGGTGCCAGCTTCACATGGACTAAGAGTAGTAATGCGGCGTTGACACCTATGAAGCGGTCAACTACAACAGCCCCAGTGTTTAGCGTATCCTGACTTTTCTGTCTCGTCTGACAGCCTTGTTCTAGATTCTAATGCAAACTAAGTGGCCAATGGAGCTGTCCTTTGTGAAATTCACGGTGGCGAGGAACACCCCCATTACCTTTAACAGCCGGATATTGATGAAGGTAGAGAGAAACTATAATGTGTCAAACGGGGAAACGCTTTCCCTTGTGCACTTTGCCGATCAGTTCCAGCACTATTTGCTATGTCGGAATTTCGTTGACCGTACCGATTACACTCCAATCACTGCGTTAATGTCCGCTAAGGAAACACGTGGCCGCAAAGCTCGGTAGGTGGAGCAAGCCTTGGACTATAGCTTCATTGCTGTTCACCGGCCGGGTCCGCAGTACCTGAATCCAAATGGTCTCTCGTGTTCCTTGTTGTCGGAGGGGCATCAATCCCGTCTCGAGACTTCTGCTGAGCAGCCGGAGGAAGCTAGTTTCCCTGCCACAACGGCATCTATGGTTGTCGCGACTCCTGTATTAGCTGGCCTTTCCGCAACTGAGTTGGCTGACGATGAACACTGATGATAACTTACGTAATAACAAACATGTACTTTGAGAGTCTTGTGTGCGGAGAGTATCCGGGTTACAAATGCTCCCGTTTTGTAATTTAGACATCATGTACAGACACGGCCTTTTAACTTACTGTATTGCAGGCAAATACGTTCATGCTCTTGGTGTGACTTGAAAATTCTTCCATACCATGATGTGCATGTTGTGTTTCAACGTGGCTTGTGGTTTAGATCGAGATGAGTGTCTATATCAGACCCACAATTGCAGCTCCAATGCTACCTGTACAAACACTGTTGGGTCCTACAACTGCACATGTGACTCTGGGTTTTCAGGAGACGGCACATCCTGCAAAGGTATGTTGCAACTTTTGTTTTATTCGAGTCACCCAAGGTGAAGAAAGGTGCCATAATGTGAGGAATCCAACGGACCTTATTCACAATGTTTGCTGTGTATTCATAGCTGCTCCTCAACCAATATTGTATTCTCTATACCCTCCCATAAAATTTTGCTGTTTCTGCATGCACCACCGCATTTGTTAGCACTGTACACGCTTCCTGCTCTCCACGCTGGTCTGGAACTTTGGACAATATGATTCGCAAGCTAGCCCACAACCACTCGGCCAAAGCACTGGCACTCAGGAGCAAGAATAAGAGAACAAGTTGGTGGCAGGGTTTTGTTTAAAACAGAAGAAAACACATTGGAACGAGTTATGAAGTAACTGTCCACGACTCTAATAAGATAACAAGCAGCCAGAATGGGCGTTAACGGGGATCTCTTTCAAGTATTTTATTGGCTCAGTTACGGATGCATTCTATATCAATCCTTTGTCCTCAAGTCCTGATGAGAGATTGGTGACTGCACTTGCGGGCACAGCGCAAACAACGACGAAGAAGATATGCTCCCCTGTGATCGAAACTGGGCCAGCTGTGTTCTTGTCGGTCGGTCTGCCACGCTGGTGACGTAGGCGCGTTGCTGCTTCTGACAACATCTAAAGGGTTACATGTTGTTTGATATGGGCGCTCAGGGGCTCAGCGATTCTACCAACATATCGGCCATCGCAGTGCCGACATTCAACTCAATACATCATACACCTTTAGTGTTTATAAAAATAAAACGACCAAGAAACTACACATTACGATATAATGTCCAATATCACCACCAGTTACTAAACAATCAGCTCATGCGATAACATTGCATTCAATTATTTATTTATTTTGATAAATTAATCCTTGGCTCTCCATCTCTCCATCCATGTCCATTCCTGCACGCCTTTAGTGTTCATTCCCAATAATTTTAACTGTCTCACCTAATTGTGTTACGTGTTATGTGTTACTTAGGTATCTCCCTCTCGAGTTCAACATTGCGATGTAATTCGAACTAATAAAGTGATTACACGGTTTGATGTACAGATAAAACCGGGAAAGACTAAACAAATTGACAGTCGCAGCCAGGGCTCAGTACAGGGACCTTCGCTTGAGGCCAGCTATGCTGAATGCACTTCACGTAATAATAACTCCCCGGGCCTTTTCTTTGGTATAATATTATAATTTAAAATAGAGGAAATTACATCGAACCGAGTTTTGAAGCAACTATCAACGACTATAACAAGAAAATAACAAAACGTACACAAGCTAAGTGCCGCGGCAACAAAGAATGCCGACTTTCACAGGATCATGACGGTTCTAACATGACAATTCGGTCCAACTGCAATTATTAGCGGCAAACACCACACCAACTTACTTGGGTGGGTCAGCATTATGAGAGATAATCAAAATGTGGGACGCTTTGCAAAACGAATTGTACAAAACCGGACGCCATTACCTGACAGTACTCCTCATGCATGACAGTATTGTGGACAAGTTGACTTCGAAACCAAATTGTTTCACACAACGTACGTTTCGCCGTATTGATTGTATGGTCCCTCCTATGATTCACGTCATTGTGTTTAAACCTGGCTTGTGGTTTAGATGCAGATGAGTGTCTATATCAGACTCACAATTGCAGCTCCAATGCTAACTGTACCAATACGGTTGGGTCCTACAACTGCACATGTAAATCTGGGTTTTCAGGTGACGGCACATCCTGCAAAGGTATGTTACACATTGTTTTGATTCATAGTATCCAAATGAGTAAGGTTACGATAATAAGAAGAGTCCAATGGAGCTTAGTGGCCAAAGGTCCAAGGTTACCAATAGTATTTTCAAAACGAAACGTTTTCGTTTTGGGGTGGCTGGGTTTCAAGGAGTTTCGTTTTGAAAATAATTATTGAATGCAGATGGAGAATTCCCAGTTATTTCTGGGTGTCGAAAATTGACATCAATATTTTATTGGAATTCGTTTAGCCTGCAGAAAAGGTGGGTGGGTGGGTGCTGAAAAGTACTAATACTTTTCGTTTTGCAAAAACTATTGGTAACCCTAGACGGCCCCTTAATCGTGTAAACATCAACGTAGAGAGTTGAGAGTTGTTTGAGCCGACAGCTGGGGATACTCTGCTACCTGCTTGGTGTCTCGATTATGAAATTCGGTTTAGATTTGGCTTAGTCATGTTTAGAAGAGTATCTCTTTGTCGTTGTTACTATAATCGAGTGCACATTCGCACTACAATTCTACGAGTGCTAGTTTGAAATTACGTTACGAATTGTTACGTTGTACAAGGTTACCAATAGTATTTTCAAAACGAAACGTTTTCGTTTTGGGGTGGCTGGGTTTCAAGGAGTTTCGTTTTGAAAATAATTATTGAATGCAGATGGAGAATTCCCAGTTATTTCTGGGTGTCGAAAATTGACATCAATATTTTATTGGAATTCGTTTAGCCTGCAGAAAAGGTGGGTGGGTGGGTGCTGAAAAGTACTAATACTTTTCGTTTTGCAAAAACTATTGGTAACCCTAGACGGCCCCTTAATCGTGTGAACATCAACGTAGAGAGTTGAGAGTTGTTTGAGCCGACAGCTGGGGATACTCTGCTACCTGCTTGGTGTCTCGATTATGAAATTCGGTTTAGATTTGGCTTAGTCATGTTTAGAAGAGCATCTCTTTGTCGTTGTTACTATAATCGAGTGCACATTCGCACTACAATTCTACGAGTGCTAGTTTGAAATTACGTTACGAATTGTTACGTTGTACAAGGTTACCAATAGTATTTTCAAAACGAAACGTTTTCGTTTTGGGGTGGCTGGGTTTCAAGGAGTTTCGTTTTGAAAATAATTATTGAATGCAGATGGAGAATTCCCAGTTATTTCTGGGTGTCGAAAATTGACATCACTATTTTATTGGAATTCGTTTAGCCTGCAGAAAAGGTGGGTGGGTGGGTGCTGAAAAGTACTAATACTTTTCGTTTTGCAAAAACTATTGGTAACCCTAGACGGCCCCTTAATCGTGTAAACATCAACGTAGAGAGTTGAGAGTTGTTTGAGCCGACAGCTGGGGATACTCTGCTACCTGCTTGGTGTCTCGATTATGAAATTCGGTTTAGATTTGGCTTAGTCATGTTTAGAAGAGTATCTCTTTGTCGTTGTTACTATAATCGAGTGGCACATTCGCACTACAATTCTACGAGTGCTAGTTTGAAATTACGTTACGAATTGTTACGTTGTACAGCAGGTACGAAACAATTAATATTTACATACTCACCGGTTTTCGTTTCGGAGTCCCGCGCTGTGACTCAGCTAATTTCTATTTCGTTTGCCTTGTATTGTCTGACTAGGGGCGCTGTCACCCCGTCGGGTGCAAGCACCCTTGGACAGAAGCACTTCACGACAAGTGTTCATTTTCGTTTTCCTCTTCTGCTTCTGTTGCATAGTTTGAACTTTGAATGTGTGCTTTTTTCGTACTCTGCTCTCGATCGAACCATGCGCGGGTCGATCTCCATAATTTTATCTTCCGTTGCCATGACTGGCATTAGTACGCGTTCTGTACTCACTCCCTGCTTGGCACGCTTGCAGCGCGTCTTTTTTCTGTTGCAACCCAGTGCAGTGCCTGCGTGCACGGTACGGGATTTGCGATGCCACATCAGCGTTGGTGTGTCGTTGTGTTTCGTTGTTGTTTTGTTCTTGGCTGAGTGTGGTCGTTAAAACTGAGAAAGAACGGGTCGTTGACACGGTGTGGTTTCGATGTGCATGCCCTCCTGTCAACTCCAAACTAGTCATGATCAATAGACCACGTCCTTGGGTGCGGACCTATTCGCATCAGTCGTTATCGACGGGAGCACACTAAAAGATGAAATGGAATTAA